TAGAGTATAGACTTTATACATTTTCAATGTATCAAATGATACCATTTCATTAATTAACAAATATCAATAATTAAAATAAATATATAAAAAATTAATATTTTTAAAATTTTACTCGTTAATAAATTGCCATGAATTTTAATTAGAATAATTAGAATGAATTTTAAACACCAAAAACGTTAGCTCAATTTGTAACAAGTCTTGAGAGGAGTTCCTTGTTCTTGTCAATCCAGGTTTAATCTTTGTAGGAAATATTTGGAAAATAAAATCTTAAATGAACTGGTCAATGTGAAGGAATGTATCTTTAAAATTGACTGAAGAAGAAATTAAATTCACGTAAAATATTGGGATACCACAGACCACATTGCAAAAAAAATTTAAGTTTTAATTAAATTTCAAATGTCTCTAAATTAAATGATTTTGATTTTTGGATTTTCAAAATAAGCAGATGTCTTAGTTGAATTTGAGTTAAAATTAATTTTATATAACATTTTTAAAAAAAAGTTGAAACTATATAAGTTTGGTTTCATTGAAAAATAATAAAAGGACATAAAGTGAAATAGGTACAGGTTAAAGATTATTCAATTATTATTTAAAAAAATTACATTTAAGGCGTTATTTGTACTAAATTAAAAAAATAAATAAATTGTATTTTTTCTTAAATATCACTTTAATAATGGAATTGGTAAACAAGTTAAGATTTTTCATTCATTGAAACAAAGAGAACTTATTGAGGGTAAATTAGTTTGACCCAGTTATGGAAACCGCTATTGTATAACTTTGACTCACTTTTGCACAGTGTCAACTGTCAAGAGACATAACTATGATTCCCTTATTTCAAGACGTCTTCATGAAAATAAATAAATAATAGCTAGCAATTAGCATGCATGAAAGAAAGAAGCTAATCCCTGCCTTGTGTGTGCATGTGTGTGCGTCTCTCTCTCTCTCTCAAATCTCGAAGTGTGAAGAGAAATCAGGTGCGTTGAGGCAGTAGCTAGCTGTATGATGGAACAAGTACGTACGAATATATTTTCAGCACAGCAGAAGAAAAAAAAAAAAAAAGGACGAGAGAGAAACAGATCCGTAAAGTCAAGGAACCGACCCGACTGACTATCATCTTTCAGATAAACTTCAGAATCTTAGGCCTTCTCTTCTCAATGTTAAAATTTCGTTGCTGCTTCACAAAAGTAAGTTCCCTTGTCTCTCGCAGTTCGACACCTTTGCCACTTCACTCCATTTTGTAACTCGTATTTCGACAGACCTTTATTAATTGGAAAGATTTAGGTGCAGTTTTTTAAATAAAATTTATAAAATTTTTTATTAAAAATAAATTAATAAAAATTAAAATCAAAAAATAAAATTAATAAATTAAAAAACTTTAATATATAAATTAAGTATATAAATTAACAAAAAAAAATTTGATATATTTTTTAGATAAAAATTTTATTAAAAATTTTAATAAAATTTTTATCATTGAATAAATACTTATCAAATTTGAATTATAAATAATTTTTTTAATTTTTTTTACACAATATTAATCTTTTCATTGTATTTTATCAATCTATCGATTTTAATTTACAATTTTAATTTTTATAAAATTATTTTTAATAAAAATTTCACGAATTCTATTTAAAGCACTTTATATAACTTTTTCCCTTTACAAAGTAGTAATTACAAATTCTCACTTTTCCTTGACCTTCTACCAAAGATTGTTCAATTTTACTGGTGGATAGTTGCCTTAATTATCAAATAGAATATGATTTTCTTTTTGTTGTCTAGATTTTAATCTGTTGAGAGATTATGAGAAAATAATTTTTTTATGAATTCATAGATTCTATGTAAATAAACCTACTTCAATCAATAGAAAAATTACAAGCACAATGCAATTACACTTATCTTAATTTTCCAAGCATTTTTGATATTTTATCTTTACCTTTTATGAACTAAGAAGTAGTTTTAACTTAGCAAGTTATCAAACTTCCTTCTTTATGTTATATATTCCCACTCTTGTTAGAGATATCAAAGTGAGAACCTTTTGACCTCCTGAGTAATTAGTTTGTCGTAAGATCTTTCTAGAAAATCAACCAAAAGTTCCTTGTTAATGCTTATGAAATTTAAAAAAAAATTTGGGATTAGGCAGCATTTGGTATCATTTTTTAAATAACTACGATAATTTAATCATTGAGGTGATTTTATTATTAAGGTGACTTGTGATTTGAAATTATTTTATTGGGTTAATAGTTATTAACTTTTAAGAATTAAAGATCACTATATTTAGTATTAATAAAAATCAAACATTATTTTGTTTTTGAAAGCACAAAAATAATCATGCATATTATAATAGTTACACAAATTAAAGATTTCGATGTTGTTTAAAAATAATAATTTGTAAAATATTAGTATTATTTTATTTACTTCATAATAAATTATAATAAAATGTTAAATTAATATATATTTATTGATAGGTAAACTAATTTTTATAATATAAATTATGTAGAAATCATTTGAATTAAAAAATAAATTAATCAATTAAAATCATAACAAAAGAAAAACAAAAGGCTTATATTATATATAAAACATTAAAAAAAATAAAAGAAAGTACATAAGTTATTTTTGAATTTGTTACAATGAATATTAATTTCAAAATATGAGAATTTATAGTAAAAATAATTACAATTTTGAGAGGAAGTAGGTTTTTAATTCACATATTCAATGGTTAATATTGACTATTGTTAATTTTATATATCACTTCAACTCAAGTTTCACTTCTTTGAATGGGAACTAAATCATTATCTAAGGTAGCGATTTAATCATTCTCAGTGATCTAAGATCACCGCCATGTAAAATTATTGATTGCTTGCCAAACAAAGTGATCTAATCACCGTATGCATATCACAATAGTTTTTAAGATGATCATTGCATACCAAACATCACCTCAGTGTATTTAATATTAAAATTAAATTGTTACAAAATTAATATATCATGATTTTTATTGTAAAAAATAAAAGAATCATTAAAAATAATTTTGGAATATAAAAACTAAATATTTTAGATGTTAAAAAAAAGAAGGTATAGTTTTGAGAAAAAAAGATAGAAAAAAAAAAAGGACGGAGAGAATGCTAATGACTATAAATGTAAGCTTAGTAAGCTCCATGGAATTAGACAAAAAGTTATTAAAAATAGAACAATAGTTATTTATTTGAAGTAATTCGATCTATGTTTATGACAAATAGGAAAACATTAAAAAAAAGAAAAATAATAAAATAGAAGCAATAAAGTTTATATATGTACATCGTAAGTGCCAGCTCAATTATCAACTAATCTTTAGATCAGTTAACATGATGTTATAAGTTAATATTTGAAAATTACGAGTTTAAAAGAGTTTATGTGCATAATATTTTTTTTAACCAAGTAAATATAAGGATAAAAAGTTTAAAGGTAAATTATGAATTTAAACAAAAATGTTGGCTCTATTAATCACATCCCTATCTTTAAGGTAAGAGATAGACAATGAACAAAAGTTGGTTTGAACCGACTAGACTGACCGAAATTGAGTGAATTTGATTGATTCGGTTTGGTCTATTTAGTTTTAGGTATAATCGATTTTTTAAATCAATTAAATTGGTTAATTCGATCAATTTTTTATTTTAAAAACTAATAACGGAACTGATCAAATTAATCAACTTTTTAATAAATAAGGGTAAAAAATTTGAGATAAATATTTTTATTTTTTCTTGAAAAATATTGTTAAAATTTTTAAATTTTTGAATGATTTAGTTTCAATAATACTTGAGTTTGAATTTCAATGGATTAAATTTGTGACTAAATAATTATATATAATAGGAAAAAAGAATGATGAAAAGTTTGGTTATTTAACCAAATCGACCAAACCAAATTGATTTTGGTAAATTCGGTTATGATTGATTATTTAAAAATTTTTAATCGATTCGATTATTTGTTAAATGAAAATCGATTGATTTGATTATTGATTTTTTCAAATCAAACTGACTAATTGTACACCTCTAAATATAGTAAGATTGAAATTCAAATCTCATTATTGCAACTCTTTTCTCTCTCGTCACCTTTTTACTTAGGATATTATCTCCCTCATAAAAAGATTATATATACATATATATAAGATTTAACATCATATGTTGATATTTGTAATAAAATTAATTACATCAGTTAACAAATATTTGGGATCTTTATATAAAGTGTAGATATGTATATAGAATACATTACATAAATATTATGCTTTGGAAAGAGAATAAGCAAAAACATTCCTAATCTTATTATTATCCCAAAAAAAAGAACAAAAAACACGGAGTATCATGAAAGCCTTCATTCAACTAGTAAATAAAGAAAGAAAGAAAGAAACTTCATGGTTTTTGTTAAAATATTTATATTTGCCGTTATGGTGGAAAGTTTTATAGAAGATATCATATATGTTGTAGTTTAAGGTTTTGTTTGGATGGATGATAAAATTAGTTATAATGAAATTAAAAATAATAATAAATTTTATTATAATTATAATTAAAAAATTTTAATAAAACATTTATATTAATTTAATTTCATTAAAATTAACATTTAAATTTAATTGATTATACGATAAATTTAATCATTTCACATTAAAAATTAAGTAAAATACAAACTACTAGTAAATACGTAGCTAAAGAACAAAAAATCTCTCCAACCCATATTCTTAGTCACTTCAACGTCAAAGTCTTTCAAATCTAATTCCCATTTCAGGTCCCTTATATTTCGCCATCATCGCAATCTTAAACCTATCTATTTCAGAAATTTTTCATCGGGGAACCAAAACGAGGCCTTTATTCAGTCAACATTAATCTGTTTGTAATGTTGTCTTAAACTAAATATTGTTGTTTTTTTTTTTTAATTGATATATCCTATAACATGGTCCAATTGCATTTTAAGGCAACCCTTCTTTCATACCCCCACAACTTCCTATTGCACCCATTCCGTGAAATGTAACATCACAACAATAAAAGCAGTTCCCAATTTCCAACAAAATTACAGAATCCACAATTTTCCATTATACATACATAGCAAATAAATATGTAGGGATAATTGTTTTAGTTCTTCAAAGGAAGGAACTCAAAAAACTGGTAAGGAATGAGGTTAGCAGTCACGGCTGCGACTGATAACTCATGCTCTTTCTCCTTGGAGTTGTCGGTACCATCGCCGCTACGAAGCGGGAAGAGTTGTAGGGTTTGAGAGTTCCCAGGAGCATCCTCTTGGTTTCTGGCAGTGTTGAAGTGGTCAATGTCATTGTGTCTGCAGGGAGCTATAAATATGTTGAGATCATGACTCTTAACGAGCTGCTGCTTTGGGTCCATTGTTCTTATTGTTGTTGGAATTGGTGCCGTGGTGATGGTGGTGGCAGTGCTAGTGGCTGCTGCTGCTGCTTCTGGGGGTGTAGTAGAGGCAGTAGGAGGGAAGCAAGAGTAACAAAATTGCATCTTCTGCCACGTGCCATTCTTTTCCACAAAGTTCCTTCTCTGCTGTAATTCTCCTTCTTCGAATTGGATCCATCCATCTGCTCTACATTCTGCCGCTGCTGCTTTTGCTGCCGTTTGTATTGAAACAGATTCCTGAATTTTTTTTAAAAAAATGAAAATAATTTTGAATGCATATAAATAAATAAAGAAAAATATGATGTGAAACATGTTTTTGGGCACTCCCTATGTTAGGTACATTCCATTCAAATAAAAAGGACAAATGGTCCAAGGCTTGGTGGGACTGGGATGATACATTGTACTACTGGGGTCAGCCAAGTCTTTTCACTGTCGGGGTTTCCAAATTCCGTAGAATATTTTTAAAGGAAGGGGCTGCTCAAATCAAAACCTTGCTTAAAAGCCATGGATGCATATCAAGCACAGAACCCAAAAAACACCAGCCATAGTTTCATAACAGCAGCCCCGACAGAAGGGAGGGAATGCAGCTTTTGAACCCTTTTCATTTCCCAACAATACAAAGCTTTTGTTGTTTCCTTGCATATCTTCCTAGTTACTATAAAATAATAATAAAATACTTTGAATCTAACCTCAAAAAATAATCTTTGCATATTATTCATCATATGCATACTATCACTACATAATTAGTTGCACGTTATCATCTTTTTTAGGGCTAGAGTGTAAAGGTAATTAAGTTGGAGTTTTAACGAGCGTAATGACTATGAAGAAAGACAAAAAGTGAAAGGAGAAAAACAGAACAATAGATATAGACCTCTGCTAGTGTACTGTAGTTGGTAGGGAGTGCCCAGTTTTTGGCCTGTTCAACTTCATAACCTGTCCTATTTGCTCCTGTAGACAAAACGAAAAACAAAAATGAATGCAACTTTACATCTCTCTAACAAACAAAGGGAAATGGTGAAAGCAAAAAAAGCAATCTCTTATCATACTTCTCTAACAACAAATGGAATGAATAAAGCAACTCATATCTAACATCTCTAAGCAGCAAATGAAATATTAATGCCAAAAAGAAAAGAAAAAGCAACTCAAAACCAAACATTTCAAAAGAAAACAAATTGGTGTAGCAAAAGGCCATACATATCAAACACATTTTATTGTCATTCCACACCAATGTATTTATATATATGCAAATGCAAAGCAAAGATTAAGATTATTGTAGTGCTTGTTTTTTTTTTTTCTTTTTCTTACTATATATATAGATACCTGAATCTTTTCTTTGGAAGATGTCAGTTTCTTGACTGTGTTCGTCTTGAGCTGATTCCATTTGCCGGCGACGTTTTTGTCGTTCCCTTGCCTTGTGGTTTTGAAACCAATAGAAGACATTCTTTCCTTCTATCTTACCATATCGACGCAGCTGTGCTGTTATATGCTGAATTTGATCTGCTGTTGGGGTTCGAGTGCCTCGTCTATAAAGTTCTTCAAGGGTTCTTAACTGCTCAGGCGTTGGATTCCACCTTGAGCTCACCACCAAGGCTGGTTGTGTATTGAAATCCCTCTTGTTTTGATCCCCCATAGCTGTTTTTAGAAAATGGAAAATGTTATGATAACCATGCGTATAACCATGAAGAAGAAGAAGAAGAAGAAGAAGAAATTCAGGAAACACAACAAGCTTTCAATGAAGAAGAGAATAAAGGGAAATTAGAAGAAGACATACTTAGGTGATGATTTAGTGCAAAAAAGTCGGTACCATTGATACGGCTTAGACAAGGAGAGTTGTTTGCAGAAGGTATTGGCCTTGGAATAAGAGGCCTCAGTTTCCTGCCATTGAAGGAATCGGGCATGTTGAACTCGGCACCCTCATTGTAACCCATCATCCACATCTTGGTGAGCAATACTAACTAACTAACTACGTACTAAAATAGGAGAAGATCACCTTGCTCTTAAAGAGAAAATATACTAATTACTAATATATGGTTTCGTAAATTTTAGCTCTTTAGCTTTAGGGGTTGGTGCAATAATGGTACAGAAAGCTAAAATATTTATAAGGGCTTTGTTTTAGGTTGAGAGTTGAGAGGAATAGCTAGGTATCTGTACAAATAAATTAGAAAAAAAAAAAAGATTGACAAAGCAAAAGGGCTTTAATGCACTCTCACACGGTCTTTTTCCTTGATGTGAAGGGTAATGTGTTGATATGATGGAGCTTTGCTGAAGTTTGTAGAAAAGGGAAATGAAGCATGCAAAGGAATGGGCCGGGGTGATGGGAGATTAAAAAAAAAGGTAAAACATAGGGAGGAGACAATATACTAGTTTTTATATATATAGTAAAATTGAAAAAGGGGGAGGGGAGGGGTGAGTTTGAGGACTTTCAGAGAAAGGGATTGATGAGACAGTGCAAAGAGTAAAGAGAGAGGGAAATGGTGGTGTTGGTTTAATAAGGAACAAAGAGAGGGGAAGACATGAGGTTGACTAATGACTAGGGGTTGTGCCTGTACCTGTGCCTGTGCCTGTGCCTGCTGGCTGGAAATTGGATCGGATCGGAAAGGACAAAAGCAAAAAGCAAAGAGAGGAGGGAGAAGGGGAAGCGTGGAATTCTGGGAGGAGATATCGGGAGTAGCAAAATGAAAAACGACGTGACGATGATGAGGGTTATCATATGCCTCATCACCCTCTCATTTATTGTTCGTCTCATGTCTCGTGCCTTTCACACTTATTCTCAATCCGAACTGCCCCTCTCTTTCTTCTGCTCCCTCACCCTTTTCTTTGTCTAATTTTCCTCTCTCCTGCCATTCATCTGCTCTGCACTTTTTTTTTCCGTTCTCTCTCTCATGCATTCACATCTAGATCCATGCATAATTATATATACATACATACATACATACATATAACATATTACATATTATTGTTTCTGCACTTGGAATCTCCAAATGTTTTTTAAATCTCCTTTTCTCATATTAATAGATATTTTGAATCATTTTGCTATTCTTAAAGACAATTTATTAAATTATTATTCTTTGTCTCATGTATCGTGTAATTGATCTTCATATTACAAACAATTTATTTTGGCTTTCATTGATTATTCATAAATTTTCTTTTTAGATTTACCTTTGACATAAAAAATGGGAATAATACTCTTTGTTTTCTTTGACAAAAATAATGAAAAAATCAAAATAATTTTTCTTCTGTTTTACGGATGAAGCGTTAATATGAAACGCCCTTTTAAAAGTATACGAACAAGACAATATTTATAGGACATAAAAGTGTATACACAAACGTATGTAAATGAGAAATATTGCTAATTGGTTCAAAATTATTTGATCAAATAAATGATTCGTATCCACACAAGGCTTATAATAATTTTACACTTCTAAGTACTATATATCTTTATTTAGGTTTGATCAGACTTCGTTAGACTCCATAGCAATTTTCAATGTGTTATTGTTATTATTATTATTATTAGGAAAAGGCTATATATAATCATTTAATACATTCATTTCATACACTCTTATAATGTATAAAATTTTAAAATTCTATTATAGTCTATAAAAATTTTAGTACTTTTAATTGAAATCTCTAGGAGTGACTGTGTGTAATGATTATACGCATGAGATGAGTGCATGTAGAACTGTCTAGTTATTATCATGCATGTATAGTTTTGGAATGGGTAAGAAATCAAAATAAGGAATGAATTGTGTATAAGTAAAACAAAAATCATTGAGCGGTGCAATATGCATGCGGACAAATATACAAACAACACATAGAAACAAAATTGTGCTTGAAATATTGCATATATTCATATTTGTTTGTTTGTTTGTTTGTTTTGAAGTCTATACACATCCGAGGGTGTATATGATGTATCATATTTGTCATTAATATGGATGTGGTGTTGTTTGTTACATGCGTCTTGCATGCATTCATGTAGTATCAGAAATTTACAGTGTCAAAATTTTGGAATCTTCCCCTCCACTTTTTTTGCCAATTCCCTCATTCAATTCCTTTTTGTTTAGGTTGGGTGTCCATTTTGTATTTCTTTTCAAGATATATGGTATAGTCCATTGGTCATTATGATGAAATGATTTCAATTCTCCATTTATTGGCGTACCCTCAGTCCTGTACAGCTCCTTTATAAATATTCATGAAGACATTGTTCATTATTGCTTAATTATTACTAGTTTCTGTAGGATAGTGACTTGAGCAAATTCTTTTTGTAATTTGCATCTGATTGAAAAGCAACAAATTATGCGTGAAATTATATCTTTGTTTATTTATTTATTTGGATAAAACACATATATAGCAAGAAGTATCAAGCTATCTGTGTTATAAATTTTAAGCAAATTGCATCACTGATTTTAAAATAATCATTAAATTATTTCAAATTTTTAATTTAATCATTAAAATATAAGTAAGTCTTTTTTTGTCATCTAACTTTTAGTTTATAATAGTGTGTTGATACGGCAATATCATGTTAGCTGTTAGATGTCACGTAGTATTCCCACATTAATAAAATTTATTTTTTTTCAAATTTTATAATGTCACGTCAATAATACCTAGTGGCATATTATGTGATATGGTAATGTCACTTCACACCTAGTAATTGATGTAGCAATACCACGTCAGTATGTCATTCGAGATTAGTGGCTGGGTAACAAAAAAAAAAAAAAAACTTTTTTCCTCAGCTAAAAGATAGTTTAATTAGTGAACAAAAAATATAGTGCACACTACAAGAAAATGGGCATTTGATAGCAGTTTTTTAGTAGCATTTCACTAGTAAATGCTGCAAAGTTCTGTGTTTTATAAAGATAGAGAAGTTTGTGTATAAAAAACATCACTAATAATCATATAACGATTTTTATATTAAAAAACATCACTAAAAATAGACGTTAGTTGCATTTATTGACTAAAGCACTGTTACATAATTATCAAAATTTATTAAATATAAAATATAATTTTTTAAACACATGAAATGCACCGCATTTGTATTCTTTTAGTGGCATTTTTAATAACAAATATGGCTATATTCCTTGTTTTTATGAACTTAGTTGTGTCTATAGCTTAAACACTTTTAAATATTTTATCATTAACTCGAAATGCATCATTTTGGTTGTGTTTAGTGGCGTTTTTACTTATAAACACCACTATGTTTAAGAAATTACTATGTTTTTTTTCAATAAACGTTGCTAAATTTTCCCTAAAATGGTCAAGCAACCCAGACCACCTTTTTGTTGTTTTCTTTTCTTTCCTTCTGTAAACCCAGTTGATTTACTCTCGTTTTCTTTTGATTCATTTCCTTTTCATCACATTTTTTATCATTTCCTTTCTTTTTCAATTTGGTTCTTTTTCCTTTACCATTTTCGGTCAAATCCCATCTTGAATCCAAATCCCTAAAATCCTGTGAAGCTGCCGCAAGCTTGAAGCCAATTTTCAGTGCCTTCATTCGTCTCCCTTTTCCTTCCATCTATAACAGTAGTTTAAGGTAAGTAAGAGAACATGTTTTTTATTTTTTATTTTTTTCAGTTTTTTTCTTATTTTTTAATATTAATTTTTAACAATACTGCATATGTATTGTATTCATTTCTAACTTTTGTATGTTTATAAGATATTGTGATGCACGTAAAGTATGTTTTCGTTAGATTGTAGTTCCCTGTTAGATTGTGTGTTCTACTTTGTCAGATTACCTTTATTGCCTCTACATTGTGGCCTTTGAAGTGATCCCACATTAATGCTTTAGCCACACACTAATTATTTGGACAATTGAGTCACAAAAATGAAGTTTGAAACTTCATATAACTTTGCTCTTAAATACATTAGAAAGTAATAATTATTTATATAGTTATTACATTCATTCACAATTTTAATATAATTAATCTCTAAAATGTCAATAGGTTAAACTTCAATATATGAAAGAAAAAAATAATTAACAATTTTGTGATTAGCTGATAGATTGTTGAACTTTTAGTTTTAATTATCATGATTTAATTTCTAACGACTTCAAATAAAAAAAAAAAAAACACTTTTATTTATATATAAAGTGTTCTTAATTTTACTATTTAAGAAAAAAAAAAGAGAAAGAGAATAAAGAAATAAACATCATTTGCTGATAATGAACACTAGTGTATGCACCAAATCCAGGATTCAAACCATACAATCCTCTCCCCTCTCACATTTTTTTTTTTATTTTTTTGTCGTTAAAAAAAATTAGCGTAAGCCCAAGGTGATTGTAGATGGAATATTGGATTGCATTAATTTTTGTTTAAGCTATAATTAATTGTTATGAACTTCTAATCTATTAAGAAGTGCTTTATTAGTTTAGAGGCCTCCAAAAAACTAGTCCTTGAATCCAACTTGACCAGCCATGAACGCTTATACTATTGATTTAAAAAAATATTTTTAAATATCGATATTTAAATTAAATAAATTTATTTGAGCTTTGGACAAACTAGATCTCAGACAAAACTTTAAAATGTCAAGCCGACTCAGCTGGCCATAGACGCCTTTATTATTGTTTATGAATAGATTTCCAGATTAAAAATTTAGAACTAAAATATTTATAAACAAATTTTTTGACATGAATGCTTTCTCGAATTTAACAAAACATCAGGTGCTTGTCTTCTGTTTTATAGTATGATAATGTTATTAAACTAATTGTTGCAACTATATCTTGTTTCTTTTTGCTTATGTTCTTTATTATATAATATAGGCATGCATTATATTTACATAAAAAACTAAGTCAAACTAGGTGTAGGTTCTACGAGAGAACTTTTTTATTTTTAAATTTTTTTCTCATTTTTCTAATATTAATTTGTAACAATACTAACTATGTTTTCTTTTTATAGTCAATTTTCAGTTTAAGATTAGGGTTAGCTCGTGATTTACAGTAACAAAA